GAGCGTCTTCAGACAGCAGCCTGGCCTGCTAATCCTGCCCCCCAGCCCTGGCAAATGCAACTAATCCAGGCCCCTGCTTCGGCTCCAAGTAGGCCCCCCTCAACCACTCACTGATACCGCATCGCCCCCACAAACAGCTATCTCTAACCAAACACACACACACACACACACACACACACACACACACACACACACACACACACACACTGCCTTCCTCTTCAGATCACTGGTCAATATGTATCACACTTAGCTGCTAAATGACTTCAAACTCATCTATTTGGCTTCAATTTTATTTGTTTCCCTGTTTAATACAAATTATTTTCTTTTGTTAATTGGAAAAGAGAAAGAGCTCAAAGAAAAAAAGCTTTTTCTGGTTCATTTGGTGAATATGCAAGATTTATGGAATACTTAGATGCTGTCAAAAGTCAAATCCTGCTGTCTCATCAACTGACAGTAAATGGAAGAAGGATGCCTTATTGAATTACACAAGTGTCCTTTGGGAATTTATAGGGTTACGTTTGATTTCTAGTCCACAGCTGTTTTGGTTTGACGGAGGGTTGTTCATATTTCAGCTGAATGTAAGTGTGGTTTTACATTGCCGGGCAACAGATGGTATGTTCTGCATGAAAAAATAGAGTACAGACAAATAAGCTGGCCCCTTTAGAGCCCACAGCACTCAATGTCACAATTCAGAGAGACTGCTCTTAGGGTGCTGTCAGGGGAGGAAAAGAAATCAGTGTAAAGGTTTTACAGCTATTTTCTTGGACGCAGACACTCGCATTTCTGAGTCCAGAGGGTCCCGTGAAAGGACTTGGCTCCATCTGAACACTGATTAAATCTCCCAAATGGGCATGGAAGGCCTCCAAACATGCAGGGAGATGGAGGAACAGAGAGGGGGGGCTGGTGATGACGACAGGCATCGAAGCTCAGATATGCTGAGGTTGTGAGCAGTGACATTTCCAGAATGATTACAAAGAGCGGGTGTGTGAGTGTACCAAGTTTCCAGCATGAGCAGCACTAGCTTCGCTGCATTTTAATGCTGCATAGCGTGTACTCAAATCTACCTCTCCTGCCATTTGTCATCTGGTGCAGATTATTAGCTGGACACTAAGTTCACTATCAAAACAAGGAGACAAGAAGCTCAAGGCTCCACAAACTCTGTTGGATGACGCCAAAGTTAGGATCAGGTTGCTGCTCTGGTTCCAGTATTGTTGCACAAAAGGAAAACCACTTGACCTTTAGTGATCTGGTCACCACAAGCAGTCTTGCAATGTCAATATATATATATATATTGACATTCCAAGATTGATCCAAGAAGTGACCGTTTTTTATGTGTGCACACACGTCATCATACAACAGTTTTCTTTATCGTTGTCGATCAATTTCAAAAGGCTCAGACTGCACACCCATAGCTCTTTAATATGCTGACATAATACCACATATGCTCCTATCCTGACTTTCTTTTTTTCTGCAGGCCTACACCAGTCAGTTTGTGGCCCTGATCATGTTTGCCCTGCTGATGTGCGATGACAGGATTTCAGTGCAGCCCAGACGGCGTGAGATAATCCAGGGTCTGAGAATTCTTCCAGGTAAATCAAGCCAGGGGAGAGTTCTGCTTCAGTCAGGGAAATCCTGATCACATGTGAGATTAAAACATAAAGGGATGGTAAACCATCTCTTGCAGCAAAGATCAAGCACAACCCAAAGCCAGCTTCATTTTAGTTGTTTGTCCAAACAATCCTCTTGGAGTAAGCTAAATTATGAGAGAGGGATCAGTAGAAAAAAGAGGAGGAGGGAGGAGGCTGCGAGCCGTCGCATGCTGCTCTGGATCTAAAGCATATGATGGGATGGCTTTAATGGTAAACTAATAAGGAATGTCTGCTGCTCCCTGCAAAACATTATGAGCTTGTCCAGTCCAGGTTCTAGCATGTGACAGCACCAAAGCACTCATAAGGTTGTTTTGATGCTCCCCCAAAAAACTGACTCATAATTGCTTTTCTGCCCATATTAGATCTGATTAAGGAGGTCCTCTCTTTGGATGATGAGATCCAGAAGTTGGCCACGGAGTTGTATCAGCAGAAGAGTGTCCTGATCATGGGCAGAGGCTACCATTACGCTACCTGCCTGGAAGGAGCACTGGTGAGCAAATGCAACCTTTTTTAAGTTTCATCTTTCTTTTGTCTTTGTCTTGCGTGAAAACTTTTATAACTGCTCTATTTTATACACCAGTTGTCTTCAGCAGGATTTATAAAAGTAATCTTAGATTATTCTTCTCTCTCTTGCCAAAAGGTTGAATTTTTGTAATGAGTACATTTTATAAATGATTTTCTCTGATTGTTTTTTTTTTTTATGAACCATAATGACTACAATGCACGTTTGGATTTCCTAAACCTGTTGGTGTTTTGTATAACCTGTGTAGAAAATCAAGGAGATCACATACATGCATTCAGAGGGGATCCTAGCTGGAGAGCTGAAACACGGCCCACTGGCCCTGGTGGATAAACTCATGCCAGTCATCATGATCATCATGAGAGACCACACTTACGTCAAATGTCAGAATGCCCTGCAGCAAGTCGTCGCCCGTCAGGTGAGGCGCACGCACGCACACACACACACACACACACACACACTTACACAAAAGATAAAAATCTAAGGTAATGTATAAATCATTGATATATTTCCCCCCTAAAGTTATTATCCATTTAAAATATCCAGTTGTTATGGTTACTGACTTAGTCATCTCATTTTTTATTTTGCCTTTTTTCTTTATTGCTGAGAAACAGACCATGATCAGTTCAAACACATGAACACTGGGTGACCACAACAGATTTTGCATCTTAGGCTAATTTTTCATAGCCCTTGCTGTGCCACACCTCTGATCCTTAGTGAATGCAAGGGAGGGGTTGGTTCAGTGTGACATCACTGCTGTCAATAATGTGCAGCAGATGTGGTTTTAAGAGGTGTGAAATTTGACCGAGATGGGCGGAAAAAATTGTATTTTCCAGGTTTAGAAATCAAATAAACACATGATGTAGTTGACGTTTGGAGACTTTTATTTGATTGATGTATTTCCCCTGCACAGGGCCGTCCTATTGTGATCTGTGACAAAGATGATTACGAGACCATCAAGAACTCCAGCCGCACCATCAAAGTGCCTCACTGTGTGGACTGCCTGCAGGGCATCTTGAGCGTCATACCTTTGCAGCTGCTGTCCTTCCACCTGGCTGTGCTCCGAGGTTATGACGTAAGTACCGTCCCCTCAGGCTCAGTGGTTACTGATGATAATTCCAAGTGATTTGCTAGTTAAGACTCCTTTTCTCAGTCTTCATGCCAAAAAAAAGGAATTGAATGTCTTTAGACTATTCTGAATAAAACATTCATAATCACCAATGTGTCCTTGTTTACAAATTCTGTAGACAAGTGAGAAAATTTTTCACATTTTTTATGGGAGATGTGTTTACACCCACAGTGAAATTATAGGATCTATGCCCTAATTATCTAGCAGACCTCAGGACTGCTTTATAGGCGAATTACTCAAACAAAACTTTTACAGGTAATCAACATTTTTAGACTAAGCACAGAGGTATACTGTATATGCATTTGTTGATTTTTGGATAATGATAAAAGACAATATAGGGCAGCTTACTGTTTAAACAGGGTTGGACTTTCTGTCTAGCCTGGAAACCAAAACAATCAATGAGCTCATATCCAGTTGCTCTTGTATTCTGACTAATTTCCAACCATTAACTTGTCTGGCCAATAGAAAGCACCACTTAAGCGTTTTCATTGACAACCAAAATGGCTATCTCTGGTATGGAGAGGCCAGTTGAGTCTGCTTTGGAGAGTATTAAACGGACAGAATATAAACTGACATTTTTCTGATGCTCTGCACTGTCAAATATTTCGTAGTTCTGATTCTTCAGAGGTTCGCTCTGCGTGTCTTGATCACGCACCGCTGAATTTATAAACGATCGGAGTTCCAGACCCATTCACAAAAGTGAATTGGTCTAGCAATGCCAGACTACTGTCTGTTGTAGCTTTGTAAACTTCATGTTTTTCTTTTTGGCTGAATTTGGTAGAAAAATAAAGCCAGTGTTGATGCAGCTTTTAAAGCAGTTCTGAGAGTGAAGCCCAGTTAGCTCTTGTTTTTATGTTGTTGAGTCTTCACGTTAACACCAAGCTGTGCTGCTGCTGCTCTGACACAGAAGCAAACATTTATATGATCACAGATCTTTCCACACCCACTAGACTTTAAAAAGTTTGTCCAAGTGTCTGGACAAGGATTGAGAATCATAAAAGCTGTATCACTGGGTCGCTCAGAGTTTGAATGTCACATTTACTCAACAACAGAAGACCTTTATAACCTATATGTCGTCCTTTTTACTTGGCCATTGTCATATAGTAAATATTTATTTTCTAAAGCACAGTTAAACTCAGTCATTTAAAAAGGATATTAAAATAAACAGTAAAAACACAGAGAAATTTACCAACAGCAACAGTAAAGAACCAGGTACGAATGCAGAAATGTACAACAGGTAAAGATCAGTGAATAAACATTTGTCTCAAGCCTGGATTTAAAAACCGAGATGGAGGGAGCATGTTCAATTTCTAGCATCGATTGATTCCATAATCATTTAGCAGCAGCTGCAAAAGTTTTGTCAGCTTTTAGTTTCATTCTTAGAGCAACTCAGTGAATAAGGTCTTCAATATTAAAAGCCTTAAACAATTGTCAATGTCTGTAATTGGAAATTGGATTTTGAAATGAATGGAAAGCGACAAGGCTTGGGATGATGTGCTCACATTTTAACCTCTTCCATTTAAATCTAGGTGGACTGTCCAAGAAACCTGGCCAAGTCAGTGACAGTCGAGTGAAGGGCACCATTCATCACGTAATGACAGAAGCCTGGCAGACACATACTCAGTAGAACCTACAGTGAGGAAGCGTGTGTTTGTAGAAAACAAGAGAAGAAAATGTCCCGTTTATGTGTCTCATGTTACAGCTTTTTTTAAAGCTGCGGGGTTTTTTTTCCACAGCTGTGCATCTTCACTGTCCATATTATCTATATCTCAATGTCTATACTCTCTTTGGTATCATTGTCATGTTATTGTTAGAGAAGTTGTTTTGCGTCCATGGTCGCAGGGTCGGGGCTGGCACTGGTGTATCTTCATCACTTGTACTGGGTGTGAGAGTCTGTAGTGACACGGACTGACTCAAAACCTTTGAGCAGGCGCTCAGTGTGTATTTGTCCTGATTGGCCTCTTGGGGAGCTGCTTTAAAAAAAGCTGTTTACTGACGTAAAGTTAGGTTGTTAAAAACCTTTTTACTGGTACTCCTTTCATTAGTGCAATGATTTGTAGATTATATGGAATATTTTTCTTTGGCTGCTAATCATTTCAAGTGTATTTACTCCACAGATGAAGTAAACAACAATCTTAAATCATTCCAAGCCACAGGTCATCAATTTCTCATAATTACAGCACAGTTTGCCTGTTTTGAATTGGCCTTTCCTCGGAGTTTGCACAATTTACTGTAGGAGCAGCATCATAATCACAGAAAAGTTAATGAATACACTATTGTGTAGAAAGCTTCTTGGATAGGCTACAAATGCTTCCTCTTTGTATAAACCTTGTCTGTCAGATTTTAAACTCTGGTTTTGGCACAAAAAAAGTGTTTATCGAGCCACCTACACCAGAGTGAGGTTTTTTTTACCATGCACTGTTTCTACCTTTTAGGGGATGTTAGGTACGTGATACTCAGACAGCTTAGATACTCTAAAATCTCTCCGTGCACTGCTGGGTTTGATTCATACATTGACTTCTGTTGCTTAACTGCTCATCAGAGACCTTATCGCTCACTTCTAGTCTGCAGTTTGCTCTTAATTTAAAAACTGACGTAATTGCAGGGAGATGAAGTAGAAGTTGCACCTAGCTGCCAGCCCACACCCCTCCATGACTGCTGAAATATGGGACCATCTGTAGCTATTGCTTGATTCTTTGTTTCATTTTCATAAAAAAAAAAAGAAGACATTATTTTATATTATTGAAATTACTTTTTGATTTGAAATGTGAATGTTACCGTCTTTATGAAATGTACTGTCAAACCAAAAATCTGTACAATGGCTTTGGCAGTTGTAAACCAAAACATATATATATATTTTATATGTTCATCTTATTTTTGTTTTTGTAGCAAATGTACTAACACTGATAGATTGGTGTGAAGACACTTGGAGACTCAATCGTGCATATATGCAGTTACATAGCTGTACTGTAGATGCTTATGTAGACATCAGATGTGAGTTGTGTGTGTGTTTGTGCATGTTCCTTAATGTCTTTTTCAGAAGCCAGGGAAAGACTGATACGTGTACACACACACACACACACATTTGTTTATGATGAAGAAATAGGAACTAGATATTTACCTTGCTTTTGCAATCAAGCCTTAACTCAGACTTTTTGCAGTTTCTTTCCTCTGACAGTGAGCTTTTCCTGAGCCAGTAGAAAAAGGGTTTGAAAGCTGGACAATGTTGTTACTGGAATTGTTTTGTAAGTCATGCACATGAGCAGAATTTGATTTAGACTGGAGACATTGATAACAAGGATTCTGCACTGAATCCTCACATCCGTTGGGTTACTGAGGGAGTCGGGCACTATTTATTAGTGGAACTGATGCAATAAAGTGTCAAATACTTCATGTTTTAAGTGTCTGAGGTCATTTGATAAGAAGACAAACCCACACATCCTGTAATCTACTTTAAATTCTTGATGTGTGTCTGTATATGAAACACATATCTTGAGAACTGTTCATCTTATCAGCTTCACATTTGTCACTTGTATTGTTAAGGGCCAAAGAAAAATAACTGCAACATATTTGATAAAAGTTTAAAATAGCAAGAAGCAGAAGAGAGACATTTACTTACCCAAACCTCAGCGTCCAAATGCTGTGGAATAAGTGTTGAAACAGCCATTGGAATAAGCCTGTGATACTGAGAAGACAAAAAAAATTCAAAAATCCACTAATTGCTAACCTATGAATTATATATTATAAGTGCGTGCTGGGAACTGTTGCTTATTAAAACTGATAGTAACACAAATTACCTGGTGAGTCGTAGTGAGGGAAGGATGAGTACCATGAAGAGCAGGCAAGAGTAGAGTTTCTGCATCATGCTCAGCTGCTCATCAGAACTGGGGGCCAGAAGCCGCTGGATTAAAATCTTTTGTGTGTGTGTGAGCGTGTGTTGGCCGAGGTGCTCACCATCATGGCGGGAGTCGTGGGGAATGTGACCAGCGCCATAAGTTGACTAGAAGAAATAGCCTGATCCATTCGAAACCCTTCACCGCCAGATTCTTCCTGTAGGAAAAGCAACAGCACAGTTACACACAAAGATAGAACAAACAGAAAAGGGGTCAACTCTTCATCAGGCGACTAAACCACAATGTTTTTAATGTTGATATTTATCTGAAGAGGATTTAGACAGATGACATTATTCACAGTAATTTATAGATTAGCATGATCATTTTTTTTCACTGAATGGTGAGTGCTGGAGCACATGCAGAAGGGTCTAACCAGTTGAAGGATCTGGCAAAAGATCTGGATTCGGCTTTTCAATTCTTCACTTTCAGACTTTCGCTTTCGGATGAAGACTTGTGCTTCTTTCTGCAGCAGAATTTATTTCACTTGAGAGCACTGAAGTCTTTCAGAACTCTGGTGAGTAAACGACAGCAGTTGGTGAGACACATTAACCAGCTCTCACTAATGTGTTCCCTCTGGTCTGTTTCCAGTAAAAGAGAAAGTCATGCCGTGACAATAAAACTGCCAGAGGACAAGCACAGTTAGCCTTTGTGTTGCTCCATTTTCAAATTACACAAAGGTAGTAATTGATAATTACGTCATCATTTCTCATGTTGCTGCTGTTTCTCCCACCTGTATTGAAGCAACATTATTATATTTAATAATCTCTTCCTCTTGGCCTATATATAATATGCATAGGCAGTGACGCAGAGACTGAACCCTCTTGCAAAACCACTGTAACTTTCATCATGACACCACAGTTTAAAATGTGTCAGTAACTAAAATGTGACAATTATATTAATCCACGTAAAAAGAAAACCTCTGTTTATCTAAATATAAGATTGTCTGGAATAAATATTGGAATAATATTTGACAGCTTACATACACACAGAAGTGTCTTTATACTGATAGAGGTCTCACATGAGTTCACTAACACCATTAAGAATTATAATGCATGTATTTTACATCTGAGGAACATAAGAAATAACAGAGTCCAGCAGTGCACCTGAGGAGCAGAGGGGTGATATGGCTTCTACCATCCCTCTACAGGTAAACTGAAACCAGACACCTGGCTGTTACCATGACACTGCTGCAGAAAAGCAAAGGTTGATGGGAGTTTTAGAGGATTAGGGGAGCACAGCCGCATGCGTCTGTTTTAGCTCAGGCACTATAGAGATGATTCTTCCCTGTGCTTTCTAGGAAACGAAGGAGTCCTCCATGGGAATATTGTCCTCATGTCTCTCGTCCCTCGCCTCTGTGGTGTTGAAGAGATTGAGGAGGCAGGTAAAAGTATCAGGTGTGAAATATTGATGGGGCGACAGGTGTGATCCTAAATGCCCGGAAGTCTTTGGCCTTCTGATCGATGCAGGACACAGCGAGGGGCTGCCAGCACGGGCCGCCACAGACTGAACCACGGACCCCAGCACTGGTGAGTCTCAGGCTGGACACACGTTCCTCTCGCTCTCTGTTTGTCTGCAGTTTATTTTCTTTTTCTCTCCCTTCAACATGTTTCTCTTTCTGTAAATCCACAACAAGAATCATACCTTTGAAACAACTGGTTTCTACTGAAGAGCCTTTACAAGGATGTCTTGGAAAGCAGAACTATCAACTGGCATCTAACCAGGCCTTAATATAAGAACCTTCCTATAAACATATTGTATAAAATACCAATAAATATTCAAGGTCTTGACATATCTAAGACTACACACTGGTATGGTAATAGAAATGGATAAAAGTGGTTGATTAAAGAGCATGGTGCTGTATGCAGGTTAGAAACTAGGCCATGCAAGCTATTATGTCTCCAGTTACACTGTTATCTCCTTCACAGGGTGTGTGTGTGTGTGTGTGTGTGTGTGTGTGT